AAAAAAAAAAAGGGGGGCTTTACCTCCAAAACTTAACTTATAAAAGTTTAAATATTAATCATAGTAATTCCAAGTAAGGAGAAAAAAACTCAATGGATGCATTTCTCTTGTCTAGGCAGAGGCCCAAATTGCCGCAAAAAGTTTGGACAAGGAGTACCTGCCCATTGCGGGACTGGCGGAATTTTGCAAGGCGTCTGCACAACTAGCCCTGGGTGAGAACAGCGAAGTCTTGAAAAGTGGCCGGGTAAGCTGAGCAGACTCTGGCATCATCCCAGGTCTGTTTTAACAAATCTGTAATCATTTAAATAATTTTAAAGAACCAGGAAAAGACAACTCATTTTGTGTCTAATAATTGTTTTCAGAAGGCCACACTATTTCTAATAATTCTTCTTTGATAGTAAATTGTCATAATTAAATAATTTACATGACACCAATTCCAGAAATGTACTGCTAGGAATCCTGAAAATGTGGAAGTGATTTGATTGATAGATTTGACATTACTTCTCTGTTAAGTCTCTACCCGCTTATGTTCATTTTACATTGAATGTGCTTTAGAAATGCTTAGCTCTGCCTAGTTTTAGGCCTGCAGTTAACCCCAACCCTCACGTCCTAAGCTTTCAACTTGCACAGAAGAAGCAAGCAGGAAACAAGCCATGGGTGGACTGTGGGGGCTAGACCAGCCTGGTGGCCCTCTGCTGTCCCTTCACAGCCTGTCTGGACTCTGAAGGAAGACCACACTCCCAACATGTGAATTCATGCACATCGTGGTTCACTTTCTTTTGAAAAAAAAATGTGTTTTAATGAGTGCATTTGTATATTTTTCTGGGTAAGCCTGGAGAGTAAAGAAACATAAAAACTAGCAACATTAAGCCAACATTTTCTCTCGCCTTCCCCCTCTGAAAAGCCGGAATAAATACAGTTTATTTACAAGACTGGTCTAAGTCCACACATGAATTTAACTCAGAGTAAAGCACACAACCTCGACCCCAGGGTTATGTATGTAGTAATTATCCAACATAAAATGGAATTTGGTTTAGTTCTGTCCAAACAGTCACCCGCCTGTTAGCCCCTCCTGGAAATTCTGTACTTTTAATTCATGTGTTTTTTTTGCCTAGTATCTGGTCTATCTAGATAATAACCTAAGTATGAGACTGGCCTACCTTAAAATAACATCAGTTTGTCTTTTATAAGTTGTTGTGTCTTGGTCAGACACAGTGGCTTGCGCCTGTAATCCCAACACTTTGCGGGGGTGTCAAGGCAGGTGGATCACCTGAGGTCAAGAGTTGAAGACCAGCCTGACCAACATGGTGAGACTCGCATCTCTACTAAAAATACAAAACTTACCCAGGTTTGATGGCACACACCTGTAGTTCCAGCTACTGGGAGGCTGACATGGGAGGATCACTTGAACCCAGGAGGTGGAGATTGCAGTGAGCCAATCTTGCACCACTGCACTCTAGCCTGGGTGATACAGCAAGACCCTGCCTCAAAAAAAAAGTTCTTGTCCTTTGTGAATCATAGTATTATTGGACCTGCAGTGAGGTTTTTACTTCCATCATGCCAAAGTTTGCAGAGACAAACTATTTTAAAAGAATTTTTTAGTTGGGTTTTTCCCTCTTCAATCCACTGCCACCCCAGTCCAGAAAAATAGGTTTATGCTTTGTAGAGCCTTGTACTTCTACAATGCCTTTAAAAACAGCAAACACTGGGCTCAAGCAATCCTCCCACTTGGGCCTCCCAAAGCACTGGGATTACAGCACTAATCTCAAAAAAACAAACAAACAAACAAAGGCCAGGTGCAGTGGCTCACGCCTGTAATCCCAGCACTTTGGGAGGCTGAGACAGGTGGATCATGAGGTCAGGAGTTTAAGACCAGCCTGGCCAAGATGGTGAAACCCCGTCTCTACTAAAAAAACACAAAAATTAGCCAGGCATGGTGGCACACGCCTGTAATCGCAGCTGAGATAGAGAATTGCTTCAACTCAGGAGGCAGGGGTTGCAGTGAGCCAAGATCGCGCCACTGCACTCCATTCTGGCCAGCAGAGTGGGACTCCATCTCAAAAAAAAAAACAGCTGGCCGGGCGCAGTGGCTCACGCCTGTAATCCCAGCACTTTGGGAGGCCGAGGCAGGTGGATCACGAGGTCAAGAGATCAAGACCATCCTGGTCAACACGGTGAAACCCCGTCTCTACTAAAACTACAAAAAATTAGCTGGGCATGGTGGCACGTGCCTGTAATCCCAGCTACTCAGGAGGCTGAGGCAGGAGAATTGCCTGAACCCAGGAGGCGGAGG